TTAACCATCTAGATGAGAATTAAAAGTGACTTGTTGTTTAATTCGTTATTGATTTTAATTTTGCATAAAAAATCTATTCCCCCCCCCCCCCCCTTCAGGTATTGTTAGGATCGAACTTGTGTTTTTCAAAAGCATTGTACCAAAAAGATCAAAGAAAAGAGCACCCAAAATAATAAAGCAATGCAACGAAGCAAAGCAAATAATCCCATAACCAAACCCATTATTAAAAATATGTGTACGAACAACAAAACAAATATAGCCTAAAAATTACATCAATATTCTGACAATAACTATACTAATTCAAGTCTGGGACAAGGCCATTAACAATAATTAATCAAATTTCGAAATTCAACAACATTGTGAAATCAGCAATGTTGGGAATAAATAGCAATGCAGACACAGAGTTCACCAACATTCAGTAGCTCAAAAGCAACTAAACAAAGTTCTAAGCTCATACAACCAATGATAGAGTTCTAACAGCTCCAGAAATCTAGCTCAATATGGTCACCAACCTATACCATAGCATTAAACAGAATATGCACAGAGTATAAACAACAGGATCTCTTATGGACTGAAATCAAAGCATATAAACATAAACAGGAGACAAAAAACATAAAGAAACTGAAGCTTCACTTCCCTTTCTCAATGGTACTACTCCTGCGTTTTTGGCTGAGATCGCTAGGCTCAGGAACAGCCACCATGCTGAGCAAAACGCCGTCCATAGAGAGTGCAAGAACCGGTAAAGAACCCTCTTCACTTGGCTTGGGTCACCGACCAAAAAGATCTACCCAAAAAGGCCAAGGAATCGCACCCAAAATCTGATCTACCGAACCCCAGAGAAACCCAACCCCTTAGCCAGTTTCCAGGCCTAAGAACACACTAGCAGTTTCATCAATCAATGGGTTAACTGATCAATTTTGGGAACCACCAGAAAAAGAGGAAGAAAGGCTCCAAAGGACCAGAGAGAAAACGAGGCCTCTACAGGGAGTCGTATGGCAGAAGCTTATCAATTCAAAAGTCATGGTCTAAGATAAAATATCTCACAAGTTTAAATCCTAGCCATTCAACTCATCCAAGGGCCACAAATGGCACAAGCCCAATAGATAGGAGAACCACATAAGCCCAATTAAGCCCACATTCTTCACCTTGGTTTTCATAACACACTCACTCTCTCGGTTNTTGCTAGAATTCAATTGATTTGACCGTTTGCAGTGAGATTAAGTGAGAGAAAGAGAAGACGACTTGGTGGCTTGACAGAGCGATCATGTATTTCGGGTGAAACAGCAATATAATGCTTTGTTAATGTGTATATATCCTTCTTTTCAGAGAGTATGAAAGGTTTAAAATCACTAGAAAATAGGAGAAATTCCATGATTAAGATTTACAAACGGAGTATACTTTTTTGATACTTCTGTGTTTAGTCTGATCTTATCAGCAAAATAGAAGTAAATTTTTTGTTCGATCATAAGTGTCCTGTTTGTGAATTAGAATTCTCTGCACCTTCCGATTCACATCAATTACCCTCTGTATATCAATCAATTTTGAATAAGTTAACCATTTCTTTTTCAATGGATAATATGGTCAATCCATTCAATCTTTGCAATGACATATTTGATCGGAGATAAGTATTGATAAATTTCAAGTTGGAGAAACTTATTTCTGCTGATACAACTATCATAGGTATGGTTCATTATCTTCATCATTTTGCATTTGCTGTGACATAGTTGAACATTATCTTCATCATTCTACTTTGCTTCATTCACATTGACAGGTTCAATCATTCTCTCTTTCTCTTTCGGTTCATCCATATCATCATTGTCTATAGTTTCTCAATCACTAATTTTTTCGGCGTTCCTTCCTTCTGTTTTCTTGTTTATCCATATCTCCAACTTGGTTTCGAATCAATGCATTTACTTTTTTTTTTTCTTCTTCTTCTTCTTCTTCTTCAGCTCTAGACACATATTCAGGAGCTATAGTACTTGACTCAAGTCATTCACCGGCTAACACCTAGAATTTGAGTGTAAAAAGGGGCTTAAATTAGTTTAAGATAGAAAGATTAAAAGATATAATTTTTTGTCAAAGGTTTTAGTTGATTTTGTAATTGACAAATTTTGTGAACAAAAGGATTTAAATTGATATAGTGTAAAAATTTAAGGAGTAATGTGCAATTTGTTTAAAAGTTAGTTAAATAGATCCATGGTTTCGAGTTTGGAACGAGGAGGAAAACGGCGCGGATTTTGGCTAGATTGTCGCCAAGGGTTGGCTCGAGTTACAAAAATAGAAACTACATCGTTAGACTGTCGCCCCTCCTTCGCTCGAGCGACAAATTGTCGCTCAACTGTCGTTGAGCCATCGCTCGAGCGACAGCTTTATTCGCGAAAGTTTTGTTTCGCGTTTTAAAGGCTTTTTCCTGGCCTATTTGTTTTTTCTAACCTACTTAAAAAATACCAAAGTACTTCTGTACGAATATTGGAAGGTTGAACATTGAGAGAGCTACTTCTGTGAGAGATCGATTCGATTCCTTCTTTCAACCTTCATCTTGTGAGTTTGTTTTGGAGAGAAAAACATCTGTTCCATAATCCAAATACCAAACTGCTGTTCCTCTATATTTGATAAGAGTTCTGAAGATTGAGGAAATGTGACTGGAGTTCCAATCTGTGAAGAACGCGGTGTTCTTCGTGGATCCACATAATGTAAACGATTTTACAAAGTTAGGAATTGCTGCATGAGAGCTTTGGAAACTGCAATTGGAAGTGGTGCAGGAGCACAGAATTCAGGAAAGTTGTTGGAATTAGGGTCAGGAGATCAGATAGTACGTGTCGTCGTTTAGGTTGGTAGACTGTAAGTTACATATCGTTTATAGTGGATTGACTGGCAAAGTGCTCGGAGTTTTTCCCAGTTGGGTTTCTCCGTAATCATTCTGGTGTTGATTATTGCTTTCACTATATTGATTGATTATACAACTGCAGTATTCAAACTTAGGACTAAAACTGACTTGGATGATTAACCATCAAGATGAGAATTAAAAGTGACTTGTT